AAAACACAGAAGAATCATAGAAAGTGTTGAAGAGAAATGAAAAGATTATGTCAGGAAGAAGTAAGTGTTATAATACACTCAAGGGCAGGCAAACATTCTGAGAAGTGTGCTTAGGTGAGTTATTGTGTGCAAACCTCAGAGGATGTCCTCACACAGCTACATACTATGGTACTGATGGTTATGCAACCTCATGGTACCATAGTCGTGTAGTCTATCATCGACCAAAACATATGTGGCACATGATCACATAGTGGCAGTTTCCATATATTCACCCACTTCGTTTTCACAACATCTATGTGAGGTTGGTATTATTGCTCTCATTTTGCGGATGAGGAAATGGAGGCAGAGAGAGTTTAGTAACTTATGCTAAGTGAAGGTGTCAGGATCTAGCTGACAATTATATGTTTCTATGGTGTGTCAGACACTACTACTTTGCTTATATTACCTGTTTTGTAAAAGTGTTCTTCACAAATACCCTTCTTGCTTTCTCTTTTTTCTTTTTTCTTTTTTGTGGGGGCCTGATAAATCTCCCTTCTTAAATTTGATCCCACTGAGTTAGAACTAGAAAATACAGTTAACCACATACTTCTGTATGTGTGTGTGTGTCTGTGTTTTTGAGACAGGGTCTCACTATGCAGTTCAGGCTGGGCTTGAGCTCACTTTGTAGCCCAGGCTGGCCTGGAACTCACAACGATCCTCCTGCCTCAGCCTCCCACGTGCTGGGATTACAGGTGTGCAGCACCACGCCCGGTTTCCCCAAACTTTTGTTACCTGAAAGGAGGAACTCCAGGAGCTACAGGACCATTTTTTCCTGTGCGAACAGGGCACCTCAAGGATGATGCTTGGAAGTTACACTTCAGCCTTGCGTGCGGGGAAGGGAAGAGAGTTGGGAATCCAAAATCTGTGCTTCAGTCCCGGCTCTCCCACTCGGCTGTGGAACACTCCACAGATCCCTTAACCCCTCTGGGGCTCACTTCCTTCTGCTGTGTACTTCTGGTCTGTTTACTGAGTGCCCCCCTGGATGCTGTGTGCCACACCAGGGCTTGGGATGTGAGTGTGAGACACAGGTAGTCTGCAAGGAGCTCAAAAGTCTCCTTTCCTACGTAGGGGACTGTGGATGCTGGCGCCTGAGTGGTGAAGCAGAGGGTGGGTACTGCAAGGTGGAAACACTGAAGAGCTGGCAGGGGTAGGGCTCTGTGGTGGGTAAGAGGTCGGCTCTGGTCGGTTCTATCTAAAGACTTCCTGGCTGTAACCTTCATTAGCTCTGTGATATCAGGCAAGTTACCCAACCTCCCGAAGAAAGAGCTCCTCATCTCCAGAGATTAGAGTTTCCCCATTTTCATTTTGAAATATCAAATAAGATACAGTATAATAAAAAGAGGCAGTCATGCTAAAGAACTGTTACCTGTCCATCTCTTCCTCCTCCTCCCCCTCTCTGGCACTATTACTGACATACAAATTGTTCCTCACCAAGGCAGTGCACAAGGCTCTGCACAGCAGGTAGAGGTCTCCTGCTAACCTGGCCTCGCACTGGCTTCCTCTTGCCTTGTGACCTTTCCTAAAGCTGTTGCCATGTCTTAAAGTGATGATTAGAGGCCTGTGAAAAGTGCCATTGATTCTGAGGAGCTCATGTCTAACTAGTCTGAGGTATGAGCAGGGTGAGACTTAGCACAGAATGAGCAAGAGGGAAAGACATCATTTAGAGAAGGTGAAGATGCCGTTAATAGATTTGGGGTGAGAACTAAAACTCACACAGAATAAATTTACCTTGAGCTAAAAAATGATGGTCCAGAAGTTGGAAATGTTTGATAAATAGTAATATTAAAAAATCCTCCTTCTGTATGAAGCATGTGTCTTAAATATCTAAATTAAGCCAAATCTTTGCAGCACATGACAAAGGGCTAACTTTGAATATTCTAAGCTCTTATAGATCAGTAAGATGATGAACAATAGGAAAATTGACAGAGCATGTGAATAGCCTATTCAGAAGAAAACAAAACACACAAATAGGCTATAAACACAGAAAGAGGTTCAACCTCATTCATGATTCAAGAATTAAAATGAAAATAAGATACCATTTGAGCAAAAATAAAGAGCTGGACATAAGCAGTATTGGTGAGGGAATGAGGTGACCGAGTAGCAGTTGCTAGTCTTGTATGACTTTTGAGGAGGAATAATTCATAGTTACTCTTTTTGTTTTTGTAATGCAGGCTGGCCTTGAACTATGTAGGCCGGGCTGGCCTCAAATTCACAGCAATTTTCCTGCCTCAGCCTCCCAAGTGCTGGGATTACTGGTGTATACCACCAACACCTGCTAATAGTTATTCTAAAATAAAAAAATGGGTACACTCCTTGGTTCACTGATAAAAATTATCCTACAAAAGTACATAAAGGTGCTAAGTTCTAGGCACACAAATGTGCACTAAGAATTGCTTGTAATAGAAAAGGGAATAAAGGAGGGAAAGAAGGAAAGCAAGAATGGAGGGAGGGCCGTGAGGGAGGGAGCAAAGAAAGCAGAAAATAGTGTTTCTTGTTTAGCATTTTCCTCAAGGCTGAGGGTGAGCTAGACCAGGGTTGCCTCTTATAACCCTGGACGTGAAGAGGGTGAACAAATGGTGGCCCTTGTGGGTGGGTTAACGGGACACACTGACTCTTCTAACGGTCTCTCTGGGGCTCTCCATTGCCCTTCATCCTCACAGGCTGACACTGCACACTTTCCCATGTGCACACAGCTCTCCGAGTGTACACGTCACTGTGGGCAGAGTGGGTATGGACAGCTGTTCCTTGCGCGGCGCTGTGGGAGGGATTCTTGGGGGCTTTAATATTATTCTTGATATTCCAAGACAGGAAGCAGATTTCTGTGTAAGGGATGAGTTGTTTTTCTTTCCTGTGCCCCACAGGGATCATGGGTGAGTGCCTCTCGGGGACATGGCGTGCTTGCAGAGCTGCCATGAGTAGCAGGATGTCTAGGACAGGAACAAAACACATAAGATGCTTACACCAGGAAAACCGTGCGCGGCAACACCTAGGCCAGTGGTAGCGAACCTATGGCACGCATGCCCAAATGGGCTGCTTGTTAGCACTGAAAACTCTTAAAGGTTCACCGTTACTGGCCTAGGCACTAGGAAAGGTTCTCATTACCTTTGATTAGAGATGGGGATCGGCAGGGAACTCTGCTTTCTAGGTGCTTTACATCTGACAACCTAAGGAGCAGCAGAGGCCAATCAAAAGTGCTTGGAACTAAAGCTCTCTTCCGGTTAGGAACTCATCATCTGACAAAGACCTGGCATTGACATCTTATCCTAGAGCTGCGTTCTTCCGTATGGTAGCCACTGGTCACGTTATATAAACTGAAATAAAAGGAAGTAAAGCAGCAAATCCAGACTTCAGTCATCCAAGGCACATTCCAAGTGCTCAGCCTAAGTATGATACCTAGTTGTTTTTTTTTCTTTTTTTGTACCAGGAATTGAACTCACGACCTTGCACTTGCCTGGCAGGCGGTGTGCCGCTGAGCTATATCCCCAGCCCCATAAGTACGATACCAATGCTGTCACAAAAGGCCACAAACTTTCACGCAACATTTCCGTCAATGAGGAATGTTCTCCTGGGCAGTGCTGATGCAAAACTGGAGGCCTCCAAAGAAATTCTACCAAGAAACATCATTTTGATGTTAAAACACCACTCTGAAGTTTTCATTGACCAGATCGAAGAAGCCTAAGTTTTATTTTGAAATAGAAGGTAAAGGAGTAAGGCCTTGAGTTTGGTGTGAATTGGGAAGCTTAATTTTTTTAGGAAAGACACTTTCTGTCAGGGGTCACTGTGGATAAAAGTGTGTAGGAAAGGAGGTGGGTGCAGGAGACACGACAAATTTGGGTTAAGGCCTCCCCAGAGTGGAAGACCATGTCCTGATTGGACAGAAGGAAGTGGTCAGAGGCACTTGATACTTTCACAAGGGGAGTGTGGCTGGCCTGGTGTTTTCTGGACTTTCCCCGACCTTCTGACCTCCTTAGGTTTCCTCTTCTGAGTCAGTTGGTAAAAATAGTGTAGGCATCTAAGCTTTAAGGGATTTTCAGTACCGTCCTCAAAAGGAGAGCACTTCTTTCTTAGTCTTGTTTCATGTGTCTCTGAAACGTCAGAAGGGATTAAGGGAAATCACATTGAGGGCAGTCATCCTTCTCACACTAGTTGCGGGTGTCCCCCTGGTTTGCAGCATAGTGATGCACCCTAATCATTTTCAAGTCTGAAAAAACACGGGGCTGGTTCTTCCCACCCAGGTCCTGCAATGTGGACTTATAAACAGGAATTTAAAAGCAACCATGACTGCCTGGGGTCTTCCTCCTTAGGGGCCAGGTGGCAGAAAGTTTATCAGACAGTAAGGTGTTGCTTAGGAAGTCGGAAGCAGATTGAGCCACATCTTACAGGGGTCCTTATTTGCAGGATAGATAAAAGGATTAGGAAGAGAAGACACTGGCGGACAAGTCCAGAGTTGTCTCCAGGAACTATAATGGGAGGGGTTTCCCGGGAGTAGGAGGGAGTCCCCGGGTGGCAGTGAAAGTGTTGGGCCCTGTCTAGTCTTGGATGTCTCACCCATCATCTGCTTCCAAAACTGCAGTCTAGTACAGGCAAGCTTTGCCATGTTATGCCTCAGTGCGTATCATGCTTTGCAGACAGCACTTTTTTTTTCCTGAACTGAAGATCTGTGGCCACACTGTGGGAAGCAAGTCTATCAGGGCCTACTTTCCAATGGCTCCAACAATCACCATTTAAGTAGCTAAACCGTTTTGAAATGAAAGTGTATACTATCAATCATAATGCCACTGCATTGCACTCTTAGTGGAGCACACAAGAGTGGAAACATAACCGTTCTTTGCAGCGGGAAACCCAAACATTTGTGTGACTTTCTTTCTTGCAGGTATCTGGAACCTAACTGGCGATATCCCTGAGATACTCGGCACCCAATAAACACTCAGTGAATGAATGATCGGGACAGACACGCACTCTGAAGGTGTAAGTTCCTTTATTGAAAATATTGGGGTAGCACTGCATTACATATAGTCAGTATCCATAAATAAAGGGTCACACATTTCCGACTGGACAATACTGCTTTAAATAGAGAACACAACAGCTGGAGATGCTCTCAGGAGTACAGTATCATGGACTAAACTAGGGGAGAGTGAATTCTATGAGGAATGACCATTTGTTTAATAATAGCACATGGCTGCGAATGGCTGGAATGGTCAGTGTGGTGACCATGAGACAGTCCTGATTCCTCACACAAACTCGCTGTTTAATGAGCAGATCGGCTGAGCTGCCGAAAGGTTGTTCATCAAAAGATCCCAACAGGACAACTTGGCTAAAAGGACACCTGGGCCACAGACTTGGAGGTTTACAGCATTCACCTGACCTTGCATGGAAAGGGAGTATAGTATGGAAACTGCCGGCCAACAGGTCAATGGGCAATTTGTCCTCTAGTAAATAGTCTAAAAAGAAGAGTAAAATAATATTCTGAAAACTATTTTTCTTTTTTTTTTTTAATGACATGTAAATACTGCCTGTTATTTATTTTTCCTTGCAAAGATCACTGGGGAAATAATTTGTGACACATCATTTCTCAGCCTTGGTTATTATTCAGTTTTTTTCCACTAGCAATCTTTGGTTTTCATACAAGTCTGACAATAATATTGGTTAAGTTTTTCTTATGATGTAAAAATGGGTTGAGGTTTTAAAAAGTTGTTTTAAAATTCTAATTTGGATATGAATCCATTTCTTTATATTATTTTTTTCTCAAACAAGAGCTTAGAAACCAAGACAACTGGTCCAATTGTACATTTTGACTTCAGAAATACAGAAATTAAAACACTTGGTCCCTTTTAAAACAGAGGCTTGCTCATTAATGTAAACAGGTGGGGTGGGCTGTGCAAATAAGCACTATGAAAATAAAGTTCATTATCAACACACGATTTTAGAAGGAGAAAAACATTCTCTTTTCAGAAGCAGGGTTTGTTCTAAATCTAAGTTCATAAAGGTAGCCATTTTTATAAATATGAACTCCCAACTGTAAGAAATGGGATTTTCTGCTTCACACATACTTGTTCAGGGTAAGTAATTTAAAATGTACCCTTTTAATGACTAAAAAAAATGCTGGCCTATATAACAATCAATGAACCTTGGTCATGAGCTTTTAGAAATTCAGAAATATTAAGGTTTATCACCCTAAACAATCAGGGCAAAAAAAAATATAAAACTATATAAAACAAACTTCTTCCCCAATATAGCACAAAATGTATATTTCAAGATCTGACACATGAAAAAGAAAAAAAACCTGCTAACACATTTCAGACAACATATTAGATATAAATAAAGCATTTTTTTAAAAAAATCATACATTCCTTTTCAGTACTATTTCCTTTCAATTTTCTAAATCACACTAACCATGGCAAACAACAGCTGTACATTTTGGTAATGAAAATTATGCTGATAAATACACAAGGCATGTATATATTTCCACAGTATTTATTTTTTCACAGTTACCAAAAATAAAAATTGCATTCAACTCATACATCTACGAACACTCCGATTCCTTGTGTGGATGTGGAAGAGGCGGAAGTACAAAGTCTTTCTCTCCGATCGGGATGGCAAAGGTCTTTCTCCGGCGTCTGCCCTCCACACGTACCTTTCGGGGCCTTTCTGCAAGGTGAGCATGCTCAGAGCTGACGGCAGAAAGAAAGCATTGTGGTCGGATGAGGCAGCGGGGGCTGGACCTTCTCCATCTTCCAGCCAGCTGGGAGGACTGCGCCAACCCCGTCTTTCTTGTGGGATAGTTTAAGGCAGCCTGAAGTTCACTCGAATGTCCATACCTCTAGGTCCTGAACTATGAAGTCTTCCTTTTTGGAAAGAATATCATTATTGAAAGTGCTGCAGGAGTTGCTTCGTCCATGGTATAAATCAGCATCGAGCCATAAACCAAATCGTCCCCTGAAAAGAGGTTAGAGAAATGAAAACACTGAAATCGCACATGGCGCACTTCCTGTCTGCCTTCTTTTATGCCAGACAGACACAGCTCTAAAGTGTTCCCAAGGTAAGTGGTTTCTTTCTTTTCCTTTCATGGATTTAGAAACCGTGTAGATTCCTCAAAAAATGACAACTAGGAATTCCACTGGACCCAGCTAGCTATTCCCTGTCTGTTCTATTCTGTCCTCAAGAGTAGAAGGCATCCTACTACAGCAATCCATGCATACCATGTTTACAGCATCACAGCCCAGGATGGCAAAATCTTAAAAGACGCCTACATGTCCATCAGCAGGTGAGTGGATAAAGGAAATGTGGTGCTTATACATAGTGGAGTACTACTTTGGCATCAAGAAAAACTTGAGTCATTGGTAGAAAAATGGATACATTTTACGATCACAGTGTTAACTGAAGTAAACCAGACGCACGAGCTTAAATATGCACGGTTTCTCTTACATGAGAAAACTAAGGTATAAATAAAGACCAAAATAAAAGAGATATTTGGACAAAAATAGAAATAATCGAAAACAGGGCTAGAGCTTTTGCACATGGGAAGGGACCTATACACAGAGGGGAGCAAATGAGGAAATAAAAAGAACGAGGATGTGTATATGCACCAGCTCTCCACTATGCATATCGTCACTGTGTTTTACAAACGTGTATTAAAAATGACCCTCTCAGTTTAAGCCCTAAAACAGCACTAATGACAAAATCCTTACCCTCCACCACCAAGTTCTAAAGAACTTATGTCTCCATTGATAAAATATGAATTTTCTCCACTCCACTTAAAAACCTAGGGTAGAAAACAGAACAGAGAACAGACATTAGTCTGGGGAGTCAGCCAGAAGGGCATCTTGGCCTGCCCATGTGAGGGAGCCGCCCCCTCAGCCGAAGCACCTCCGACCGCCAGGCCACGTCCACCCCACAACCAGTGAGCGGTTACGAAGTGGGAAAGACCTTTCGGCTGCACTCCAGCTCTGAGCTACAGCCCGGATGTGCCACTCCCAAGTCCTAGGGCCTGACGTTTTCATGCTGCAGTCACAAAACCCTGCGGGGCCACGGAAAGCCCAAATGTGGTCCCTGGGAGTTGCTATCACCCGACCCCCAGCTGGCAATGTGACACTGGGTAGTTAAATATTCCTCCTCTAAGGTGCCCACCATACCTTGAAATTAGGGCTAAACGTGTAGAGAAAAGTCTCTCCCGTGCCGTAATAGTGGTCACTGAACTTGAAGGGATGAGTTGCATAGGCTCCGAAAATCTGTCAAAAGAAAACCTCAATGTCACCTGCTTTCGAGTCTAACCCTCCCCACAAAAGGCTTTGTAAAGCAGTTCTGGCACGATCTTGTTCTGAGCTATCACGCTACCTCTTTCAGCCAAGATTATTACCAACTGGGAGCTCTTAAGACAAAAAAGACCACAGAACCAGGGGTGGGACAAAGAGGTACTGGGGACCTGCACAGAGCAGCAGTGGGGCCAGGGAGTGTCCACTTTCTTGCTCCCTGATCTCGGCGTGAAGCGTTCAGCCGTCTGAGCTGGGAGATGTTGAGCGCACGGAGAGGGCTGTGTCTCTGGTGCCAGAGAGTCTCACTGTGATTACTGAGATTTATTAGGTTTCCTTGAATAAATATTTCTTCGCTTGCTGTATGCCCTTAGGACAATTTCCAGACACTCGAAGGCACTGTTGCTCTTCTAACTTCTACCGGTGACAGTTTTCACTGGGGGCTGCTTCTGCAGAGCTCCTCCCGGTGCTGCCATGCTCCATGTGTTTCTTTGTAGATTACTGAACGTGACCCATTTTTGGATAAATATATAGGTTTTGTTTTATCATGCTGGCAAATTCAGCCAAATCATGATCTTCTGTTCGGATGGCACGGGAGGGAGAACAGCGCTGGTGTCCAGGTGTCCTCACCCAACCTGAGCTCGGCCAGGGACCATGACTCACGGACTCCACTTCCTGACACACAGGGCACCCTCTGTGGCTTTTGGCTGCCTTCACGTATTGTGAAACTGGGCTCCCTCAATCCCTGCTCGGGTGGGTCATCTGTTCCCCGAGACTGCTAGTGCCGGTAAATAAAGAACTATATGCTTTGGGTGTGGACTCGTGTCTAGCCCTATACGTCATCAAACACACAGCAACCAACTTCTCCAACGGTTCATTAAGTCTCTGAGTAATTTCATTTAAAACCCACGTGTTGTAACAATGCCTGTTCTTTTTGCAGTGCTGAGGATGGAACCTAGGGCCCTGCACTTGTTAGGCAAGCACTCTGCCACTGAGCCACGGCCCCTTGACTGGCTCTCCGCGTGGCCCCCATGAGCAGGGTCTGTGGACTCTATCTGAGCTATCGAGAAAGAACCCTGGAATGGCACCCGAATTTATGCTCCAACTATCTCCACATCCGTACTTGCTTTACCTCACTTTTCTCCAGCGTGAGGTTGTTGAATACCATTATAGTTTCCTAATCCATGATCAGCATAGGGAAAAAAAAAACCTCCTTAGAACGTGACCATGTTTGGGTATCAGAGAGGATTCTGAAGTACACGGGGTGACACAGTCCTGGGACTTACTTCAACAGAGTGAAGTAGCAAAGTCCCGCTGGCTGTGCAATCTGAGTGAGGCGAGTTTACTGGACTCCTCACTCTACTCTCATGAAGGTGTAAAAATGATTATCAAGACATCCTCCACCCCAGGCGCAGGCCTCACCTGGTTGTCCATGTCTTTGATGACCAGCAGCACAGGACTGTCCAGCGATGCCGACTTCCGGTAGAGCGTTTTCAGGCTGGTTCCGTGCTCCAGCGTGCTGTAGGCCAGTCTCCATGGGTACCCCTGCACCCGCGCGGGGAGGCGCCGGGCCAGCTGCCGATCGAGGGAGGAAGTGTCACCACAGTTCTGGCATAGATCACACAAACTTGTGGCACAAAACAAGTGCCGTCATGCAGTGTCAATGGGCAACTCAACATTACAGTCTCCTTATACCTGATGTCACTAGCCAATAGCATCTTAGGGGATGACGTCACACATAGGGTCCATCGGTGACCCAAATGTTAGGCAGCGCATGAGCACACATTTGCAGATACAGATCAAGAGAAGCAGGAACTAGACACTTACTTTATACCTCAACCTGACTAATAAACAGTTCCTGCTTTTTAAAATTGTTCTTTTTTCATACTCATGCCAGACATGATGGTATACGCCTGTAATCCCAGCACCTGGGAGGCTGAGTCAGGAGGATTACTGAGTTCGAGGCCAGCCTGTACTACGTTTTCTCGAGAGAAAAAAAAAGAATCTTCACAGACGCAGAGCGGCAGCTTCCCAAGGAAGTGAGAGCAAGAAAACGCACATGCTCACTGCTGCAGGCAGAGGGAGCCTGGCCTTTAAATCAATACTTAGCTGCCACAAACACCACCGATGTAAAATCTCTCAGAACTGTATCAGAGGAGGCCAGGAAGTGCCAAGGCCTGGGAGTGTTTCAACCAGCGTCTGAGTGAACCCCCGGGGCAGTGACTTGGTCACACCTTTTGGCTTTCCTGGGCATTTCGTGGCCCATTTGTAAACCAAGGAAGCTGAGCTGATGATTCTTTAAGGTCTCTCAAGTTGAGGTTACAAAAGTAACTGATGGCAGAAATCCCCACCAGAGGTCAGGTGTAAGTGCATTACATTTCACAAAACTGAGCAAGACTTCAGAGTACAAAGCACGCAAAGAGAATTACAGGAGAAGGAAAATCCTCCTCGAGGCCAGTGTTTCTCACAGAGCAAGAAAGTGCATTTGCCACCCTGATTTCCCGCGCCCTAGCGGCACCAGCCCTGGAACCACGAGATCGCTCATCATCAGGACGCTGATCACCAACAGAACCGCTGTGTCCGGTCAAGTCCTCGCGTGGTAGAACAGACCGAGGTGGCTTTCTCAGATGCACGCGGGATGGGGCAGGCCCCCGTAGACTGCCGCTTCTTCCTTCTTATCCTGCCCCCTCCCCAAGCAGGAGCAAACGCTGCCTGGCCCAGGAGACCGCGGCCCACTCCCCGGAAGTCACCTGCTCGACGTGCATATTCTCCAGGAGCGCGCTGTGCGGCTGCAGCACGGGCAGCCCCTCCTCGTCCTCGTCCTCGTAGTCGCTGCACGCGCTCTTCCTACGCTTGGCCTCCTCGACAGTGATGATCTAAGTGGGGCACAAAGACAAGCGCAGGACAGGGTCACTTTTGCTGGTCCGCAGCAAGCTACCTCACTCGCTTCCATCGGGGCACTGGTGCAGCTCTGGTGCAGACCAGGGACCGGGACTCTGGGGAGAGGGCTGACCTTCCCGTTCTGGAACAAATGCAGAACTAAGGGCACGACACCTGAGGCATTTCATATACACGCATTAAAGCCACGCACTTCCCAGGGGCTTACAGCTGCTGATCGCTCAGTCCTCAGTGAGCACTGTTCACAACCCACAGGTAATTTATACTCTTTGAAAATGCAGGGCAGGGATATAGCTCAGTGGCATAGGCGTCTGCCCGGCAAGCACAAGGTCCTAAGTTCGATTCCCAGAAACAAACAAAAAATGCACAAAATTATTCCCCATTAGCCTTTGTCTAAATAAGGAAATACTCAGAGATTATTCAGTAAGTCTTCCATAAATACGGAGTTTGGAACAATAGGGCCAGCTTTTAATCAAGGCTGCTGGTGTTTTCTCTCAAGGCTGTGCACTTGGCAACCAAATCTGATAGAAATGATGTCCGATAACAGCTACCAGGAAGCGGAGAAGCCTGGCGATTTACTCGCAATCATAGCTAGGTTACGAGTCTTTATAGACGGTCTGAAATGATCAAAAGTATTCTTCCCTTCTAAACTGAAAAACATTATGTTGTACATTTCTTATTTAACTGTAGCGTTATTTATGAACTACCAAAGTCCTTCACCTTAAAATCCATTTTCCCTTCTTATATGCTGGATAAACCACTGAATTATTCTGAAACTAAACTCCACTAGACAACAGATTCACCAAGACACCTGAGAACCAATAACAACGGCTTGTGTATCATAGAACAAAAGCATTTGTTACATCTAGTGAAAGTTGTTAGAGAAAGCATTACTCAATTTCCAACCGCAAAACGAAAGGTACAGAGCGTCTGCTATTATCTGAGACAGATTTCTGGCAGGAAAATTAGCTTATACATTTTGCCACCTTCTGGAGAATTTATATGCAGAAAATACTTCCAAAGAATCACAAATGCAGTGCTTTAAAGGCACTAAATAAAGCCCCACGGTTTGCGTGAACTCCCCATTTTACTAATGGCACAAATAAGGCTGTGGAATGAACGATCTCAAACGCATTTGAGATTCTCGAGGGAAGGAGCAGCCACCGCGTGCATCTCTACAATGAGTCAAATAACCTGCACACACACCATCCTCTCCTCCACCGGGGAGCCGAGATCACCGGCACCTGGCCGTCCCCAGGCAAATGCCAGCCAGCTTACCTTCACGAACGGCTCCTGGTCAGGCCTGGCACAGTACAGAATCTGAATGTCCACATGCAGCCGCCGGCCTCTCATGGTGGTGGGAGACGAGCCAGCTCCCTCTCGGAGGAGGAGCAGGTCTGCGCCCTGCGCCTCCACGCCAGGGTCACTTACAGCCACTCTGGGCTGCACTGTTTAAGTATCTGACTTCCTGCGTGATTAAGTTTCTGTTTCCCTTAGGAGGGGTTTCAACAGTTCCACAGGAACACACCCAAATTAGGACGCAGAGCAAACAGACTTCCTGTCAGGCTGAGCGGGGAGACTGTAAAATGACACTTTCACCTTTGAAACCCGTGGTTTCCTAGCAGTACAATTGAACCCTATTGTTTGAGGAGTTGTTTTTCCTCATACTTTTCTTCCTAATTACCCCTGGGCGAATGCAGCTTCCCGCCCTGCCTCTCCAGTTTCCTTCCAGCACCTTCTGGTAAATCTCCATTTTGAAGGTTCCGTCTCCCGCCTCAGTTTGAATCTCAAAGGCAGAAAGGTCACCTGGGCAGGCTCCTTCCACTGAGCACATCTCCATGCCGGCCTGTTCCTGGAGGGTGACGGGCCTGAGGCCAGGGCCTGCTTTACGTGAGCCAGGGTGGGGAAGGCATCGCCCCTCCCGCAGTCATGCACACCAGCGGAGTAAGGCCGAGGGACCATCTTGTACTCTTCCATTTGTCCCAGTGACTAATAAGCACGACCAGTCCTCCTCTCCTCCTCGGACCCAACGACTGGGGTCAGAAGGGACACGGGGCCCCGCTGGGTCAATTTTCACAGATCTTTCTGTGACTTCTCCAGACCTCAGTGGCCTTGCAAGTCTGGGGTTTCCCAGGAGACCCAGTGCTGTTGCTACGGACAGCTAAGTTAGACAGAAATATCAGAGGCAGTCACACAGGGCTGGCCCTGGAAGGAGCCAGGGCCCCAGACAGGATACCCTGCCGCTGTGGGGGAGATGGCGCCTCTGCTCCCCAGGGCCAGACCTCAAGACGGAAGATGGACAGAGTGCACCCACTTACTTCCCCTAAGGATAAACATCAGGTAGGGAGGCCGGGCCCACGCCTGTAATCCCAGCACTTGGGAGGCTGAGGCAGGAGGATCACTGTGAGTTTGAGACCAGCGTGGGCTACAAAGTGAGCTCAAGGCTAACCTGAACTGCACAGTGAGACTCTGTCTCAAAAAGACCAAAACAAACAAATAAATAACTAGGTAGGTAGGTAGGTGGGGATATGAAGGCCCACTGACCCATCTCCCTACAGGAAAAGCCCCTGTTCTGTTTCATGCCCCCCTACTGCGGTGACTCGATTCCCCCTTGATCCCAGTTTAATCAATTTTACCTTAGCAATTATGCCCCTAATCTTAGCAGCTGACCAGTTCTGTCCCACGGCACGTCCACCTTGTGAGTTCCCGTGTTTCCTACCTTGGACCCACCTCACCTCCTGGTTTTGCTCTATAAAAATCCCGAGAAAAGGCAGGGTCCTTGCAACCCACTCGGGACCCCTTCTGTCTCTCTCTCCGACAGACATCTTTTTTCCCCAATAAATATATTCTGCTCTTAACCTCCACTGCTCCTAGAATTCATTCTTTGATTTTAGAGAACACGAACTCATACTGGACAGCCGGCAGGTTGGGAGTTTCTTTCCCCTATATAATTGCTGCACTGCCACAGCGGCCGGCTGAAGGACGGCCCGTGGCAGCTCGGCGACAATGCTGGGTCAGAAGAGACGCTCTGCGCAGAGCCCCAACACAAGCTGGGCAGAGCACCTCACAATCTGCGCTGAGAAGAGAGGCTGCCGCAGGAGGCCCTCGAGGAGAGCGACAATCACCAGGTGCTTCCCTGATCATGAGAACGTCAGGCTGGGCCCGGCAGAGGGGACGCAGCTCGGCCGGCTGGGGATGAGGCAACAGGGGCGGGACAAGTGAAACACAAGACTGCCTCCACGGGCACAGGTGCTAAAGACGACTGCAGGTCAGGGTGAGCAGGACAGAGGAGATACAGTCAGGCAGAAAGGACGACGAAAAATCAGAATTCTAAAATCGTACTTCTAAGAAAAATGACGGCTTTGGGACACAAGCCTAGCTAATTGTTTTTTCTCCGCATCTCACCTGCAAACAGGCCCTTTGCACCAGCACGGAGGCCCCTGTCCTCCCCATACACCGCGCTTCCTGAGGAGCTGGCAGCAGATCCCAGCTCTACAGGGGTCAGCGGGCTGCACCTTGACACAGACAGATGGAGGAACACAAGCCTGGCTGCCCCTCTTGGAGACACCCCAGGACCCCACAGATACACCCAGCTCCGGATCGTAAGGCTCCTCTCTCGGGCCCACACTCTTTTTTTTTTCTTTTTCTTTCTCTTCTCTTCTCCTCCTCTCTCCTCTCCCCTCCCCTCCCCTCTTCTCCCTTCTTCTCCTTTTCCTCCCTCCCTCCCTTCCTCCCTCCTCCCCCTCTCCCTCTTTCTTCTTTTTTTAATCTTCTTGAGACAGGGTCTTGCTATGCAGTTCAGGCTGGCCTTGAACTCACTTTGTAGCACAGGCTGGTCTCAAACTTGCAGCGATCCCCCTGCCTCATCCTCCCGAGTGCTGGGATTACAGGTGTGCGTCACTATACCTGGCTCACTCTTATTTCTTTGAGTGCGCCATTCACATTTCTGTCTATTAAATACCCTTGTGCCTCTCAGTCTTGAAGGTTCTTTTTTGGGAGGGAAGTCAGGGAGCCTGGGAGGCTACCCTACAGCAGGGTGGGCGAGGTTCCTTACCTGAGTTTTGGGAACTTCCTAGGACCCTGTCTGGTGACACACGGAGGTGCGTCCACCTGTGTGTTCTGTGACCGCGCATTTGCCAGGTGGGTGTCAGCGCGAGGCCAGAGGGTGAGCGGGGAGTCGGTGAGGCACAGAGAGTACACAGAGGTGGCTCCGGCTGCCTGGGACTGAGTGAGAGGTGTCGGGCTCAGGAAGGACAGGGACTTTCTCTGGCTTTGCTGTGTCATAGCTCCTAAGAGACTCTTAGGAGGGAGTGATTAGGTGGGGACAGGGCTAGCTTGGAAGACCAATGTCACACCACCTCTGCCCTCAGGGTACCACGTTTGCCCCAGCACGTGGAGCAAAGAGGCAGTGGAAATTCATGTACAGTGAGGATGGGAATCAGGTCTGTGGTGACGCTGGGCAGGGTGACATCAGTGGTGACTGCAGAACAAACTGGGTGCACAGTGATAAGAACGAAGGGCAGTTGAGAAACGGGAGGCCATGAATAGGAAGCTCAAAAGGGGAAGAAGAAAGCAATGCCCGCAGGAGGACAGTCCTCAGGGATAAAACCCCCCAGCCCTCGGGACGGGGACGGCATGCTACCCCTGAACCAAGCAGGAAGCGTGCAATCATAGGGGAATTAGGAGAGAAGGAGGAAGATCGTGTCCAACAGTCTCTTCTTTGTAGAAATGAAGCAAAGGGCCACTGTGGGGATTCACGGACCACAGAGCGAGCGCAGAGTTTCAGAGAGGGGCCAAAGGTTACAAAAGGGAGGTGACTAAAGATATATAGGACTTCTCGTCATTGGCAAGGACCCAGGTGGATTCAGAAATCAGGTGTTCATTATAGATCATTCTCCCTGGTTGGTCCCTGTCTGTTGTCATTTTTGTTTGTTTTTGAGACAGGGTCTTGCTTCTTGTCCAGACTGGTCTTGAACTCATGGGCTCAAATGATCCCCCCTCAGCCCACCAAGGAGCCAGGACTACACATGTGCACACGCCCCGCCCGACTTGGGATGACAGGTTCTCTAAGGCAGTGTCCGCCCTCCCGGGAGCAGAGCCAGAGGGAGGTGACATTCACACAGCAGGGCAGGCAAGACAGGTGAGAGAGGAGCGGAGGAAGAAGGCCTGAGGCACTCAGGCGTCCTGGGAAGGGCTGCCGGCACTTTCTGACCATCCCTCTAAGCCAGCACAGAAGCAATCATCAGAGGGGCCCAAGGGAGGAGCAGAAGAGGAAGGAGCCAGGAACCGAGGCTAGAGAGACACAGGGGGACGGCGGAGGGGCCCAGTGCCGAGGAGGAGGAGCTGACACACTTCTCCCTGGCTCATCTCCCCACCTTCCAGGTCTGCAAGCATATTAGGCAGAGAGAACCCGTCTTGTCCGTCTTCCTGTGTCCCGGGCCCGGGCCCAAGAGGTACCAGACACATGTCTGAATGGAGGAAGAGACCCTCGCATTGGCAAAGTGTAGCCTGTCGGCCAAATCCAGCTCACCTTCTATTTTTGTATCACACACAAGGTGAGCGAGTTATATAATATAGTTTAAGTGGTTAAAAATATGTAAAAAGAAGAACGTTTGGTGATACAAAGAAATTTACGACGGGAAGACAGAGATGCTCACCCACGGACCGGTGCTGCACGGCAGCACAGGTGAGCAGCTGTGACAGAGATCACGTGGCCTGCTAAGCCCAACGTGTTATCCAGTCCTTCACAGCTCTCACTTTTTACCAGCCGGCACCTGAGTCCGAACAGGGGGCCACTTCTGACTGCGTCCTTCATTTTCAGAACCAACCTCTTACCTCCCAGCTCTTGGTTGTCGGCTCACTGAAGAAGTTGTCGATCATATTCAGCTCTTCCTTTTCCACCACCACGAAGCCTTGCTCTTTGGCATCTTTCCCATAGACGTCAGGAGACCACTGGACGAAGAACGTGTACAAATGGTCTACCCTGAAACAACACATTCACGATACGGGTTAGCACCAAGTCGGGGATGGTACTAACAGGGACTAGGGGGTAACCACCATCTTTTTCCTGTTTGGCAAATTCATGTGCCAATCGGGAAATTCCCTCAAACAAGGCTAGCTTTAGGAGTGACTTCCAATCTTGGAAAGTAAGGGCCAACCGATGAAAGCAAATACCGGCAGGCCCTGAGAAACTGTTAAAACTGTCCTCCAACCTGAGGAACAGACTAAGAGATGGGATATACAACTGAAAACCTCAAAGGAATATTTACACTAAGCTTTCTTGCTCACTGAGATGTCCTGTACTGGCCCCTTGTATCCACCGAGGAAAAATGTTGATCAGGAACTTTACCCAGGAAAAAATATAAACTATAATCCAGTGGTCCTTTCAGTAAAAGCTTTTAATAAACATTTCTGATAACTGTTATTTTTTGAGACAGTATCTTACTATGTAGTTCAGGCTGTCCCTGAGCTCACTGTGTAGCCCAGCCGGCCTTGAACTCACAGCCATCCTTCTCTCTCAGCCTTCCAAGTGCTGGGATTAACATGTATGCACTACCACACCCGAGCCATCTCTGATAATTAGAAAGTGTTGGGACTAATGCTAGCTATCATCATAATATTAGAGAAAGACCTAATTTTATCGGCATAACAATGTACTTTGTTTCCAGTTTCTCTGATCTCGTTTATCTGACTTGGATGTGTATTTTTATTGGCCCACGTTTGCAGTCCATAATGATGGCACTTCTTGCGGGGAGTTGGTTTACGCACGTAACACATCTTGAATCTGTTTATGTTGCCTCCCCGCTCCATCACCCCTGTGCCATACCTCCTTCTGGCCTCTGATCTCTTAGACATATTTAGGTAGGAAGTTTGATTTGAAAGTGCCATCAAGAGACAGGCGGCTCGTTCCTAAGCAAAGGATGGAGCTGAGTTCCCGCCCGCAGCATCCCTGGAGTGAGACAGCCACAGTCTCTCAGACCTTAGGTTCCCCGTCTCTAACCATCATGGGTAAGCACGACGACCACACAAAGATTCACGCCTCATGATGGCTATTATTTGGGACAGTGCTAACTTATTAATTATTGAGAAGTTGTAATGTCAAAATGTCCTAACAATACCAGTATGAACAAACAAAAACAGAAGTGTCACCCACGACCCTGGTACTGCAATGCATCGAACGGTGTTAGGTTCCCATACTCCCATCTGTCCGCGGGGCTACGCGGTTTTTACATGGCCTTCACTGTCCCTAGGGCCAAGACAATGATCTGTGCATCGTTACACTGCGCACACTTACCACGCTGCCAGTCTGCACTCATCCGTAACCGCTGTAACTTGGCAGATTTACTGAGCTGTGCAGTGCACACCTCTACATTTCCAGGAGACTGAATTTGCAGATTTCTTTCCTTCTATAAATAATGCTGTACTGAATTTCTTTCTGGAGGCTATGCCTTTTACTGTCTTTTGAGTTAGTTTCTCAAGATTAGTTCCCGAAGGCTTCTCGGCCTTTGGCTAACATCAAATGAAGATTAGTTCCCAGAAAGGGGATTAATGGGCCAAAAGACACGACTTTATAGCTGTGGCTTGACTTATCAAATTGTGGAAGGTGATTACTCAGAGTTTATGTTTCATAACCACCTTATCTTTTTGGTGAAACGAGTTTGCTCTATTTAGTTTTACTTGACTCATTTTCCATTTGAGGCTAAACACTTTTGTGAATGGGCTGTGTGATTTGTGGCATCAGTATTTTTCTTTTCAATTTGTTGGAAGCTCGTGGTAATGTAAACATTAACTACTACCAAATGTATTTCTAAGCTGTTGCTTTCTTTTTCCTAGTAATTATGAACCCTCACATAGTACGGAATTAGCAAATTTCATGTATTTTAAAGGTGTATTTCCTTTCAGAGTTTTCCTTCAGAATGCAGGAAGTTGTCATCCAACCTATCAGTATGGTGATATGCTAATTTCTATTATAATAATATGGATGTGGATATGTGTGTTGACTGTACAATCAACACGAGGCTGAGATGCACACGTTTCAACTTAACAAGGCCACGGTATCAGTTTCCAGTCCCGCAGCAGCCTCAGTGTTGCTGTGAAGGTGACGTCTTGCACGTGGCTGACATTCAAATCCCTACACTTCAGGAAGAAGCTCACCCTGCATCCTGCGTGCAGGTCTCTTCCCATGAGGATGAAGAGGGTCTTAGGCAAAAAAGACACAGGTCCTCCAAAGCAGGGGAGCTGTGCCTTTCAACTTTCCCCAGACTCGATCCTGCACCGGCAGCCCTTCCATCCATCTGGACGGCCCTGATAATGTTAGTCTTGCCAGGTTCCACAATCCTAAGAGCCAATTTCTTAAAACCAACCAACCAGCCAACCAACCAACCAAACAACTACCTTCTTTACACTTAACACATCCTGTTGGGGGTTTCTGGGAGAAATACAATGGACTCTAAAAGGTTACACAAGAAACTGATCCAAACGCATCTAAAGAAAACAGTGGGTTGAGAGAAAGACACTATTCTCGATCATACATGTCTTTAAATTATGTTAATTTTTGGAATAGACAGTATATTTATATAATTCAAGCACCAACATTGATTCATTCATTGATTCATTCATTGATTCATTCATTGATTTATTGGCTTTTTGAGATGAAGTCTCGCTATGTTGTGCAGGCTGGTCTTGAACTTACTACGTAGCCCAGGCTAGCCTTAAACTCAAGGAATCTTAACTGCCTCAACCTCCTGAGTGCTGGGATTCCAAGTATGTGTCATCATGAAAATTATTTAAAAAGCCGTTTCCACACAGAGCATAGTGGTGCATGCCCATAACCCCAGTACTTGGGAGGTTGAGACAGGAGTAAAGGCTTTAGTTTGAGGTCAGCCTAAACTACACAGGGAGAACCTGTTTCAAAAAACAAATGCAAAACAAACAAAACGTCATTTCCTCCCCACATCCCCACCCACCTCACAAGTAAGGGTGATCGCTTTATTTCCCATGTATGTAGCGTTACGTATATAGATGTAAGTATGGACAGATATCTTTTTTGTCTTTACTCTCTTTATTTCTGTGTTCACTACCTTATTTTTTTTTCACTTAACAATACACCTTGATGTCTTTCCACATCAGTAAGTGGACAGCTTCCTCGTTCTTTCCATCCCAGTCACATGCTACTTTACCGCGTAGACTTACCGTAGTAGATTATGTTATCATCCTCTATAATTAAACACCTGAGGTGTTCCCAAGACTGTCCTGTCATAAATATGAGGCATTCACTGCACAAGTGTCATTTCGTTTGTTTTTTTGTTTTTGTTTTTTTCCAGTACTGGGAATCGAACTCACGGCCTTCCACTTGACAGGCAGGTGCTGTGCCACTGAGCTAAATCCCCACCCCCACAAGAGTCATTTCAACGCATACCAACATGTCCCAGGAGAACTGCAGGACTCATTCCCAGAACTGACACTACACTGTCAAGGGAGCTGCACACAGCTGTAGCTGTAGCTACACGAACTTAGTAACTCACACGGTGCCATCCTGAAGGATGACCTTATTTCTGTTCTCCCAACTCCCTAGTAAAAACAGAGAAAATGGGAAATAGATCACCACTCCAGACAGGTCAGATAAGTACACAATTCTAACTCAGTTTTTTCCATACTTAAAAAAAATTTGATAAATTATCAAATGTCTTTTGGAGTAGAGTTAGAACTAAGGGTATATCATTTTGACTTTTTTTTTTTTTTTTTTTTTTTTTCTCCGGTACCGGGAACTGAACTCACGACGTTGCGCTTGCCAGGCAGGCACTTTGCCGCTGAGCTAAATCCCCAGCCCCTCATTTTGACTTTTAAGGAGAAATTAGGTGTACAGTCGCAGTAGAACAAAATTGAAACATGGTACACACAAGTGGGTTCCCTGTGAGCGAAGCCCCTCACCCCTGAGACCAACCCACCTGGCGCCCTCATGTTTTCCCAGGGACACAGACAAGCTCACAGAGCATCAAACCAGACAAGGCCACCCCCCGGCCATGACAGATCAGGACGAACACAAGATCACGTTGTGATCATGTCTCAACACCGTCAAAAACACAAGCATCAGCTGTAAGAATGACAGGCAGCCCCCTGACCTGAGCATTAGCAATGCCCGCTTCCTTACCAATCCCAGCGCTGCTCTGGCTGGTCTCAAGTGAGAGTCCGTAAGGTCCCCAGACAGGGGCCCCCAACGGCAGCCAACAGCAGCCCAGCTGCAGCTTCCCGGGGTCTTCCTGCACATCACCCCTTCCAAGCTACATCCTGCCACTCCTTTCTGTGTGTGTATACGTGCATGTGTGCATGTGTGCATGTGTGTAGTGCCGGGGTTGCAACCCAGGGCCTCTGCACAGGAAGCCAGAGCTCTAACCACTGAGAACCCCTGCCCCACTGCCCTCTAACAGCCTCTTCACTCTATGGCCCGGAGTCCACATCAGGAGCGAACCCGTTGTCAAACTGCAGCTGTGCTCCTACCCATGCCAGCCACTGGCCAGGGCTCTGCTCCCTGGACAATGCTCCCATGGCCCCATGTATCATTCAGTGCCCCTGCCTTCGTGGAGCTTGTTTTCGACACTCTCAGACTAGATAAATGAGGGTTCCGAGGATCACAGGCTAGACTAGAGCAGCTGAGGCGCTAACACGGTTCTTCCTACCGGAATACCAAGTCTTCCCTATGCCACACTCATTTCCCAGCTCACTGCTAGTTACAGCACGTGGCATTTTTATTCTCTCTTGAACCCACTTCCTAGGATATGATGCGTAGTAGCGTACGCCTGCAATGCCGTAACCCTTGGGAGGCTGAGGCAGGAGGATCACGTGAGTTTAAGGCCAGCCTGGGCTACATAGTGAGTTCAAGGCCAGCCTACACTGCATAGGGAGACTCTGTCTCAACAAACATGTAAATTGTGAAAAGTGCAAGCTGGTAAAGATGTTAGGGAAAGAACCTATCTTAGCAGCTGG